AGAATAAGTTCACTTTGCTGTCAAAGCTTTGCAAAAGACTCATGATGACTACGATGAACAATGCTCTCAGAAAAGGCTATCAAATTCCTAAGATCGATGCTTTTGAGTTGCTAAATCCTGTATTGATCATCAGGCGAAACGCGTTCATCATCGACAGCGACATCGACCTCCCACTTTCTGCCATTGAAATGATGGTAGCCCATCTTCTCAGCTATTAGGGTTGTTTGTGAATAAATATGAACTTCTAATGAAAATTCTTTACACTGGTGTGGCAATGATTTATGTTAAATTGAAATAAAGCTCTCGGCGATTATCCGTTGAGTGACTCTAGTTTACCATCAGTTACGGTTGATATCGTTTGTGTTAGGGATTAACAAATTTAACGTAAATGCTTTTTTGGTGTAAAATCCTAACACCATCGAGCCTAATGAACGTGCTTCAGGTAAAACATGCAGATTCTTCTCTACGCTGTACAATCCTCCTTCCAGCTATCTTTGTTTGTCAGTATCATAAAATCCTTGCATCGATAACCAATCGCTTCGGAGTTGGTGACATTGCTACAGAACTATTGTAATGACTAAGGTGAATAGAAATAAACCCCACCTTAGTCTTATTAAGCAATATTAAATTAAAGGGAATTTGATTACAGATGGCTATGCGTCTTTTCACATGCTCACGAAAGTTTAATCGCTTTGTCTGAAGCGGCAAATGTCAATGCCAATGTGTATGATCAAAGTCCAACTTCTTCACGACCGTTGAGCACTGCACGTCCTTGTGTGTTCAACGTCACTGCCTTTACAGTTTTACTCATATTATTATTAATTCACTGAATTCAATTAATAGCATCATCTTTATTCTCCTGTACTAACTGGCCGCACTGTTATTAATAGTAGGCTTTGAACCCAAAGGCCTTGCAGCAGGTTTCACCAATAAGAATAACGCAGACCTTAAGCTATGCGTTCTCTACTGCAGGCTGAACTTTCATAAACTTCCAACTGCCTCTGGCAAACAGCCCGCTATCTGTGACATTTACGTTATAGACAAAAAAATTTGACCTGCTGAAGGTGTCCCGAAAGTTGGCATGCGAAACACTGCTCAGCACCTTTGTTCTTAAGCGATATTTGTTTCATGAGCCACGGAACTATTCCTCATTGTTTATGATCGGTTAAATAAAGATACGAAAAACAAGTTATTCAAACTTCCTCAGGGCAAAAACAATAAAAGACTCCGTTCTAAAGCGAGACTGAAATATAACCGTATCATCAGCAGCTCAAGGTATTTTGGGAAGTTTTGTTGAAACTGTTAAAAACCCGTCGAAGTATGCATGGCACATTTAACAGCAAAACACAACAACACTACAATTGTATTTTGATCAAAACACGTACTTCACTTGGATCACTTTGACCGGCCAGTAATCAGCCAAGAATCGCGCCGGGCGCAAAAGACCTGCCATTCTCACGGTTTCGAGTCCTCTCCCTCCATACACGGCCTTCCCGGCTTTGAATATAATCTTTCTACTGTCGTAGCGGGCGACTAAATGGATATTCCGCCCGAGAGGGTAACCAGTCGACGACCACTGACGGCCATCTCCCACCGCTGAGCCGAGATGTGGGGCCGGACAACCGCAGTTTCTGCTGTCGATGACAGTTCCCATCACTCCGTCCACAGTATGATTACTTTTCTGGGGATATGGTCGCGACGAGAAATTCTCAATATTTCCTTTTCCGTAGCTTTCTCGGTGACACAAAGTTAACGTTCTTTGGCTTTAGTGAGTGACCGCGAATAATAGTCATTCATTGCTAGTAAGACGGTAGAATTAGAAAAGTGTTTGCAGGTTCTTTCCCAATGTTGCTGAGATAAACTTCATTAATGGAATAGAAAATCACCAACATAAACAGAGATCCGCCAACAAAACCGATCATTACCAAAAGACTGTCAACAAATCTGTGCAAATAGCAGATTCAGTGCAGCAAATAACATTTTATTTTAAAGCAACTGCTCGAGTACGAAGCATACAAGCTCCCTTTGTGAAACGCATTCGTCGACTTTGAGAAAGCGTTCGACACTCTCGAATAAAACCGATGTGGACTGCACAGGCTGAACAGGGCACTGACACTAGTTTCATCAACCTATTAATGAGCGTAAATCAAAGGGACCCAATCTGTACCAAAGACTTTTTGGAAATGGTGTTGCGGAGGACAAACTGCAAGAGTAGGATTAACATCAATGACGAATTGACCCTAGTCACTTATAGTTTGCTGATGTCGTGGCGTTATTTACGGGAAAAGCATGTCAGTCACAATATATGCCATGAAATCTCGAGGGTTGCGAATAAATTGGTAAAAACCAAGATTCCGTTATCGGATTCTCAGCAAAGTCCCAAATAACATTTAACGACGAAAAGATCGACGAAGTCGATAAATAAATACATCTGAGCCAACAGATCAGCATGCGCAGTAATAGAGCTTAAGCGACTCAACGGAGAAAGACGGCTGTCTGGCGTCAGTTCCATTCCATTTAAGCAAATAATACCGCGTTAATAGTCCAATAATTTAACGGTTTCAATTTTGTACAATACTGCACTGCATTGAGTGATTTACTTTGAGCCTGACCACACGGTCTACGAGCATAACATTGGCTTAGGGCAGGACAATGGCGCTGAGATTACCTCTTCCACCGTTGGAAAATATGTTGACCCCGTAATGTGATTGCAGCTATGAAGATCAGACTATGCAGAACATCATTTCTGAATGTCCACTCCGAAACATCGACAGCAGCATAACTGCTGAAATATTATCGCGGCGACATTAAGCATGTTTGAAATCTGAATAATCAATGATAACTTTGCTAGACCCTCCTTCACAAACATCCAAACGCTACCCATGTAAAAGGAGAAGGAATTAATACGTCTTTGAAATGATGCGCCAAGTAGCCTCTTTACCATAACAGATTATGAGTACGGTATTCGGTTAAGCAGAACGATCGATAAGATGTTATCGCTTTCGGTGGCACTGCTGCTATGATGGAGCGGACGTGCTAGTGGAGCATAATGCAGAAGGCACAGATCACTCGTTTTCTTTTGAAATTTTTGCACTAGACAGGAACGTTCAATGAAACCGTTAGCTTTTGACGTAGTAATAGGGAGAACTGTTAACACCTCCTCCCTCGACAGTCCGTAGTCCTGATAAAAAAGTACGAGGTATGGAATCCATGTCAAAGTCTTCTACTATACTTGGCCATTTGTCTTTCCAGGCATTGCCGTTGTCGAACATTACGCCGGCGTAGTCTTTGCCCAGGTTACCAAGGACCATACAGCCTGCGGGACCGGGGGGAGCGGTGCGGGCTAATTAAGATACACTGGAAATAATCAGTGCTAAGAATATGCTTTAAGCTTGTGGCAACTGAGGGTGTAGCAGCACGATGACGGCTACCGAAGATCAACAAGAAGAAGACGAATATATGAGTCAGCAGCGAAGCCAGTATCTTTTCTTAGAGGAAGAGGCAAACAGGAAATAAATTTAATAAAGCGAGTAGACATAGAATAGAAATATTCTTTAGTAAAGTATCACAATAATACGAAAAATATCATTAAGGTGATTTGGAAACAAACATAAACACAATGGCACCATGATAGAAAGCGTCTATAAAATTAAACAGTACTGCTAGACAGTTTGTGAATCTCAGGAATTGCGAACAGCCGAAAGCGTGGTGTGTCCTTTGAAAAAGCTGCTAGTACAATGTTCGCAAATGCATGACGCATTTAGCTGTGTCAGTACAGGATGCCAAGGAGGGCAGTTACAGGCGGGGTGGCATGAAAGATTAATTAGTTTCATTTATCATGTCTTTGCATGGTTTTCATCATCTGGATCTTGGCAATCTAAACCCCTCTATCATTGATTAAGCCAACAGAAGAAGACGAAAGTTATTTTGTATTGTAAATGATCCATGATTATTCGGTATATGTGATTTGTTAGATGGCAAGAGGCGGACTGTATTTGCTTTCATGTCCAAAATCAACAAAAATGCTTTGCATCGTTTCGAAGCCACCGAATTTCGACTGTGTATGGTAAATTATCAATGCAGCTGCCGCGAACCGCTTTGAAGAGGGATGAGTGCCAAGATACAAGAAATAGGTCATATCACCAAAATGGCTCCTTTTCAAATCGTGAACTGTGCGAAGCGGAATCTCATTCCGGGATGCTAAAAAATCTTCTGTGAACGCATTCAAAGAGTAAACTTTTTAAAGTTTGGCGTGCCAGAAAACCTATTTCCTGAGGTAGTATGTAAACTAACGGCATCACTCACACGTGAGCTATCCGATGGCAACCCTCAAACTAGTTGATAATGCTTACTTCTACAATAGCACACTTAATGCCATTTTGGCGAAGACCTGTAGTGACTCTTTGTGTTCGGTGCTGAGGTCGAAATTTTGAATTTTGTATAACTGGACGATGGCCACCTTGTAACGACTTTTTAACGTAGCCCCAAACGGTATTAATGAAATGCTCTCTATAAGTAGAGCACAATACAGGTGTCAAATTTTCAAACTTTGAATATTTTATTTTTTGACTTGATTGGGACAAATGACGAAGGACAGGAAGTTAACATCTTGTTGTTTGACCAGAGCTTGAATTTCTATGATTAGGGAAACTGAATCATCATCAATCACTTGGTTTAATCTTTCATGTCATATGTCTATCGAAAGATATATGCGATCAGAACATGATATTTTTTCAAATTTGAGGTAATGGCGACAACGTCCGGTTATGCAGTCAGCAGTTCGGCAGTTTGAACCTATGGAATAATTATTATAAGCCTGTCTCTTTCCGTTTGCGATTTATCTCATCATCTTGCACATCAATAAAATTATTTTTCTGAACATAATACGTAACTTTCGATGCATTAGTGAATTTCAAAGATAACCATCTTATTAGTTGGATCATTAGGACAGTTCTGAGGTCGTGAGTTCGAATTTATATAATTAATAGACGCTCATTTGCATCAATTACTAAACGGTAAGATGGTCTCGTTCAGTAGCGTTGCTGAATTAAATTTAAAAAAAATAAAAGATCGTAGAATTTGGAAAATTTTACAAACGAATAATGAAGTTTCCGGTATCAGCAATTAAAAGATATCATTTGCCCAGGAATCGGAAAGCTGCGTTGCTGATACCCCAGAACATCAGTGTCATAATTTGATTTTATGTATATTTGCCAGC